GAGCAGGCCTAGCACCATTTGGACATCCTCCGCGCTGCTGAGGAGAAGGGAGAGGCTCCCACCACCACCGCTGTGCTGACAGCTGGCAGCCTAGCTTGTGGCTGAGCAGAGCTCCCCCTGTGGGAGTGCACTGACCACCATGGGGCAGCTCCTGCATTGAGCATCTTCACCCTGGTGGTCAGTGTGTATCATAGTGACCAGTGATTCCCAGTCACTCTGCTGTTAGGGTCAATTTGCATATTACCCTTTTATTATATAGGATAGAGGCTGGGTTAGGGGCCAGCTGGTTTGCCCTGAAGGGTGTCCTGGATCAGGGTGGGTGTCCCACTGGAGTGCCTGGAAAGCCTGTATGAGGGGTTGATGGTCATCTTCAGGCTGGCGACACCCCCTTCAGGGAGGGGGTTCCTGCTGCGGTGTCTGGCCAGCCTGGGTAAGTGACTGATGGTTGTTTGCAGGCTGGCCACAGCCCCTTCAAGATGGGGGTCCCCGCTGGGGTGCCTGTCCAGCCTGGGGGAGGGGCTGTGGGCCGTTTTCAGGCTGACCACACCCCCTTCAGGGTGCGGGTCCTGCTGGGGTGCCTGGACAGGCTGGGTGAGAGGCTGATGGCTGTTTGCAGGCTGGCCAAGTCCCCCAATGGGGGCCCTCACCCCATGACGGTGTGGCCATCCTAGGTGAGAAACTGAGGGCTGTTTGCAGCCACCAAGTGGGGATGGGACCCCACCATGGCCTGCCACTCTTCAATCTCCAAGACATCCTCAGCATGAGAGTTGATGAAATCCACTGCCTGAGGTTTCAGTTGATCTGCTGTGGAGGTCAGCCAAGGTGAGCATTTCTGCAGCATTCTCCTCAGAGAGGTGTCTGCAGAGGACTTCCTCACACAGGACCTTCAAATGCTCCAGGGCATACTTGTCAGCAGCTGCCAGCAAACCATCAGCCACTTTGTCCAGGTTCGGAGCCTTCTCCGTGTAAAGGAAGCACATCATTTCCTTAAAAACTCCAGGCTCCATGTCAATGATTTCAACCCGACTCTTGTTGCTCTCCTCCATTGCATGCACAAACATGGCCCTGAACACTGGGGAACGAGCTGCTAAGATAGCTTTTGTGAGCCTGGAATTCCTGGCCAGCAACACAAAAACAACAGTCTGTGAACCATGAATTTTCCCAAAGTCCTCCTAGTGCATGGACCACCTGGCACTCAGGAACCTTCACCATCTTCGTGGTGCTCTGGCCAGAAATGGTGACGGAATCTTGCACCACACTCACCTCAAAGAAGAGGGCCAGCTTGTCATCAGGGAGAAGACTATTGTCTTCATCCAAAAGAACATCTCTATGGATGAATTTCTTGAACCCCCAGGATTTGCCTTGTACAAAGCTATAATACCCGGTGACTCTCCAAAGATTTGATTTCTTCTTTCTTGTCATTCAGGATGGAGAGTTTGAATTTTGCCAAAAATATACACTTTGGAGAACTGACCAGAGACAGGTAAAGTGACAGGTAATCTTTGCTTACTGTATCTACCCCTTTTGGGTATACTCTCAAATGCCATGTCAGTTGATCAATGGCTTCTGATGAAAAGGTTGTACTTTGAACGACGTCACCCACTTCCTGCCAGCAAAAGCTAAAGTTACCGATGGTCCACATGTGGGAGAATTTCACTACCTTGATCTCAGTGTGGCACCAGCTCTCAGCTACAGGGCCACTCGACATTTCTGCTGGAGGTGGCGGACTTGGGACCCTTGACATTCCAAGTTTGAAGGTTCAACAAGATTTCCAAAGTCAGAGGACAATGATTTCTGTTCTCTTTTCACCCACGTTTAGTCAGTAGTGGGAAGATGAATGGTGGGGTCCAGCCCCAGCAGGTCCAGGGGTTCCCAACGGTGTGGACAGCACCGGCGAAGAAAGAATGACACGGAGATAGCGTTCAGATGACCAGCACAGCCAGCTTCTCTAGCCAGGTTCTCTAGCCAGGTTCTCTCTTTATTCTCCTGTTACATCTGTGTTGATACCACTTGATTTTAATCCTATCCATTCTATTCCAATGGTTAGGGTGTTTGTTATCTCCATCCCAAGGTCACTACTATACTGTTCTGTTTAGCTACAAGGAAGTAACTGAAGGAGATTATCCGAAGTAAAGATTATGTAGCTTAAGCGTGATGGTTCACAGCTGAGGTGATTAACTACCTTCCTGGCACTTAGTTAAGGAGTTTTACTGATTTATTCCCTTCCTTAGTCTTGTTAATCCCTAACTACAGGGAAAAATTCCCACCTGGGGTAACAGCCTTTCTCGGAGAGGTGACCCTGGTTAAAACACATAGCACTAAGAAGGGGAGCAAACATATGAAGAACACTATGCCATATACGCCAGGTCCCTTGAAATATATTCTGTGCAGATGTTTCTTCCCTGCAGTGACTGTGTCAGGCAGCAAGGATGGACTGGCTTCCGACCAATGAAGTTGTCTTGTCTAACAGGAACTCTTTCAGAGCCGGGCCTACAGCTTCTGGTACCTGTCCTTCTGCATTGGCTTCATCCTCTCCACAACATCCAGGCTTTGCTTCTGAAAACAACTGTCTGAAAGATGCACCTAAAACATAAATGCTGTTTTGCTGACATGGCTCAGTGCTTGAGCGACCAGGTCAGGGTATAGGGCCACCTTGCAGGCTCGATCCCCAGTGTGGGGCTTGCAGGAGGCAGCAATTCAGTGATTTTCTTTCGTCATTGCTGTTTCTATGTCTCTCTTCCTCTCCCTTTCTCTCTACAATAAGAATAAAATAAATAAGACATAAATGCTATCACAGTGGACAGATGCTCAACAATATCTAAGATTCATTTAGTAATATTTATTGAGTTTTTGGTGAGTGCCAGCCATTGCTTAAAGTGATCCTATGGAGGTAGGGAAAGTCCTGCCTCAGGTCCATCTAAGGCCCCCAAAATCATTTGGTCTGGTCCTCCCAAGGCATAAGGGTCATTTAAAGGTTTGACCAAATTGCAGCAGCCTAATTGTCAATAATTGCATTTCATTTTGTATGGCCCTCAAATGATGTAATAAATATCCAAATGGCCCTTGGCAGAAAAATGGTTCCTCGCCCCTGTAATCTAATGTATTTACACTTCAATATAGTCCCTGGAGTAGACCCACAGGGAACACTCCCTAAAAATCCAATTACTTTCCCTTTCCACCACTGAAAAGAAATCACACATTATCCAATACTTGGGTACTTTTATCAAATTTCCAAAAATGTCGTCAATCTCAGGTGTAAAAAATGATTCTTGTGAACACAATTGTTTTCTTCCCACTGGTAATTAGAGTAGCATCTTTTCCTGTTTCTTTGCTCTTTAATTTTCTTTGCCATAAAGAAGCTCTTCATAAAATTGTTCATATTTCTATTGCATGATCCATTAATTTTATGATCTGCAAGTATAGATTTTTCATTGCATTCTAAAAACAAATTACTTTCCGACTAAAATGACAGGTATGACATGCTGACAGTAAATCCCCTTCCTGTTCTAGAATACAGCAGGAACTCTATCTACCAGCAAGCACTGGACATTACTGTTGGCCAAAAGGCAGAGCTAGCCTCCTTCCAGCCTCTGGTCATAGCTTGCTCATCCTTCAGTTAGTACATCATCTTGTTTATGTGTGTTTCCATTTAAAGACATCTTAGTTGTGACTGGCTTTTTTCACTTAGCATGACATTTTTAAGGTTTATGTATGCTATATTCTGGTGTATGGGTATGCCACATTTTGTTTACCCATTCATCAGTTGATGAGTATGACGGTTGTTTCCGGTTTGAGGCTCTTATGAATAACGGCGCTGTGTGTAAAAGATTTTGTGTGGCCTAAACCGGTTTGGCTCAGTGGATAGAGCGTTGGCCTGCGGACTGAAGGGTCCCAGGTTCGATTCCGGTCAAGGGCATGTACCTGGGTTGCGGGCACATCCCCAGTAGGAGGCGTGCAGGAGGCGGCTGATCGATGTTTCTCTCTCATCGATGTTTCTAACTCTCTATCTCTCTCCCTTCCTCTCTGTAAAAAATCAATAAAATATATATATATTTAAAAAAAAAAAAAAAGATTTTGTGTGAACAGGTTTCCATTTCTTTTGGGTATGTACCTAGAAGTGGAACTTCCGGGCCATCGGGTGACTCTGGTTTTCCAATGTGGCCCCGCTATTTTACATTTCGCCCAGCAATGTACGGAGGGGTCCGATTTTTAAGCATTCTCATGAATGTTTTATTTTATTTTATTTTTTTAATCTTTAATTTCTTTATTGGTTAAGGTATTAAAAATGTGTCCTCATCCCCCCAGTAACCACCGCCCCCACCACCACCACCACTCATGTTCTCATCCCCCTGTTGTCCATGTCCATTGGTTTGGCTTATATGCACGCATACAAGTCTTTTGATTGATCTCTTCCCCTTACCCCAACTCTCCCCTACTTTCCCTCTGGGGATGGATAGTCTGATCCCTGTTTCTCTGTCTTTGGATCTGTCCCTGTTCATCGGTCTATGTTGTTCTGTATATCCCACAAATGAGTGAGATCATGTGGTATTTATCTTTCTCTGACTGGCTGATATCACTTAGCATAATGCTCTCCGGTTCCATCCATGCTGTTGCAAATGGGAAGAATTCCTTAGTTTTTACTGAAGCGTAGTATTCCCTTGTGTAGATGTACCACAGTTGTGTTTTTCTTTTTTTACTGCATTTCTGTGAAATGTCCCTCCGCCCACCACCCCATAGGCATATCCCTGGAGGCCTAACACTACAGAAAGCAGATTAGTGACTGCCTGGGGCTAGGGCGGGAGGACAGGGAGGGGGCCCTGGGAAAGGGAGGTGACTGTTAATGGGTGTGGGTTTAAAGTCCTACAATTGGCTCGTCTCTGAGGGGGCGTGGCTAGGCCCTGGGGGGCGTGGCTGGACTTTAGGGCGGACCCATTCAGCTTAAAAGCCTGCGGAGGAGGAGCAGCAGCCACATTCTCTGTGCTGGCTGTTCAGCGAGGAGGATGGAGGAGTGCGCTTGCCTCTGCGGCTTGGGCTCTTCGCGGGGATGTCGGTGTCGTCAGGAGCCCCGGGGCCCAGCTGAGACGGCAGCGGCCGAGGGCAAGCGGTGTCCTCAGAAGCGCCAGCGCCCAGCTGAGACGGCAGAGGCCAATGACAAGCCGGCCCCGGCAGAGAAGCACCTCGAGGCGGCCGCGGCCACGCCCTTCTGTGCAGGGAGTGGAGGAACGGCGAGCCCCATGCCGCCCCCGCACTGCTCGCTGCAGGACCTGCCTGTGGAGATGCTGGTGGAGATCTTCGCCTCGCTCCCCGGCACCGACCTGGCCAGCCTGGCCCAGGTCTGCACCAAATTCCGCCGCATCCTGCACATCGACAGCATCTGGAGACGGCGCTGCCGGGAGGAGTTTGGCGTTTGTGAAAACTTGCAGGACCTGGAGACGGTGGGTACGTCTTACCGAGAGGTCTATGCGAAGCTGCTCCACCCGTACAGACACATCTTGGGTTTGTGGCAGCGAGATGCTGAGGGCCTTAAAACGCTGCTGTATGTCGCGGTGGACGGCTTAGGCATCACTGCGTGGACGGACAGGCCTTGTCTTCACCTCCTGGTGGACGGCCCGATGCAGTTCAAGCCCGCGTTCCGAATCCGCCTGACGGAGACGCAATCAGCCGCGGTGGAGTGCATGGAAGGCCGCCACCGCAGGCCCCACGGCCGCCGCCTGCAGATTCGGAAGGACAGGCTCCGCACCCGGTGCAAGAAGACAGACCACCTGAAGGATTTACCGACGCGGCTTCTGGAGAAATGGGGGCAGATTCTGGTGCCGGAGGACAGAAGGCGGTATGACTGCCGGACCTACCGCCGCCTCTACCTCCCGCCCAGCCACCCGGACGACCTCATCAGGCCAGGCCTCTTCCAACGCAAACCCAATTACTATGGCCTGATCGCCGTGCTCAGCTTCCACGGGAAGTGTGCCAGGCTCACGCCCATCACGGGAACCTTATTCCCGACGTTACAGATCCACCTCATGCGCCGCATCGAGATGCGAGGTGGCGAGATCTTCTGGGACGTCGATGCGCTCTCCCGCGTGGTCCGGGAGATGGAGGAGCAGGTGCTCCGGGAGCAGCAGCAGCATGAGGACGGGACTGAGGACAGCGAGGGCCGTGGCGGGCAGAGCCCTGCCCAGCCCAGCGCCGGGAAGTCCGGGGCTGCAGCTGCGGAGGAGCAGCCTGTCCCGTTTGTTCTGCCTGAGGGCGTGCGCTCAACGGACCAGAACTACCCCCGAACCTGCAGGATGTGTTTCTATGGCGTGAGCACTTCTATCTATAATGGCTTCACCGAGTCCAGCACTGGCGTCGTCGTCACCCTGTTCGATGAGAACCGCTTCGGGTTCCTGTGTCTGCAGGAGAGAGCCTTCAGCCTGTTCGGCAGAGTCCAGAACACCTTCGGGAATGCGGAGGCGCCATCGCCGCAGGCCTTCCTGGAGATGCTCTCCAGCATCCGGTCCTGACCCCCTGGGAGGACGGGCTGGCACGCACTTTGAAGATCTGACCTTCTGACCAAGTTACCCACCTTGGTTTGTTTTTTTAACCCTCACCCGAGGATATTTGATGTTTAGAGAGAGTGGGGGAGAGGGAAAGACAGAAAGAATCGATGGGAGAGAAACACATCAGTTGGTTGCCTCCTGCCCAAGCCGGGAACAGGGCCAGGCTGGGTAGGGGCCAGCAGTTGAGGTCGAAATAAACCTTAGACCAGTGGTCTCAACCTTCCTAATGCTGCGACCCTTTAATACAATTCCTCATGTTGTTACAAATTGAACATCATGAAAGCATAGTGATTAATCAGACACACAAAAATAAATAAAGACATCTTAGTTACTATCTATTGTTTATTTATTAACATTGAACTCATGGCCAAGAGCAATGGAGCTCATTCCTTATGAAAGCTTCTCTAACAGACACATTCTCTCCACAAAGCAGAGCTAGTGCTTTGGCACTAAGGCTGCCATCTATTTTAAACAGCAGGGGTCACAGGCTCCTGGGATGGCGTCTTCAGAGACAAATGGGGACTGTTCTCATTCCTCACAGGGAACTGAAGAAATGAAGGAACATGGGGGAAAGGCAGACAGCAGCAGCTCCTCAGACTCCAGCAGTAGCGATCAAGATGCCAGCAGCTCCAGCTCCTCCTCCTCGGGGGACACCTCTGACTCAGACCCCAACTGAGCTTTGTTCCTTCCTAGGTGGCAGGACAGAGAACTTCCCAACGGAAGTCTTGGGCATCTATGTATAGTGCAGGGCTCTTCTCCCTGTCCCTGTTTATTGCTTTACTTCCTTTCCCCTCCCCCTCCTCCTCAATACAGAGTAGGACGGGTTGGCAGGCGGGGAATTGGGACAGAACTCTCAATATCAGGTCCACACACCTGGGAAGAGAGGTTCCTGCTGGGAGAAGAGATATATTGGAGCCTGTATTGGGTTCCCCTACACCAGTGATGGTGAGCCTTTTGAGCTCGGCGTGCCAGCAGTTTGAAAAACCCTAACTTAACTCTGGTGCCGTGTCGCATATAGAAATTTTTTGATATTTGCAACCATAGTAAAACAAAGACATATTTTTGATATTTATTTTGTATATTTAAATGCCATTTAACAAAGAAAAATCAACAAAAAGAATGAGTTAACCTGTCACCTCTGACACGTGTGTCATAGGTTCGCCATCACTGCCCTACACCATCAGTACCACTCCCTCTAGGAGCCCCAAGCAATGAAGGATCTTGAAACAAACAGATGACTGGGCAGCTGTGAGGAGCACACTGCACTGGACTGCATATTTGTGAAGAAATAAGTTTTGCTTTCCTCATTTTCTGTCTGCCACAAGTGGTCGGGGGCCACCATGAGCCTGTGACTCCTACATTCTCTGCAAGAACTCTCCCTCTGGACTCTTACACTACATCTGATGTGAGAAAGGAGTTGCCATTCTTTACGTGACAGTGGGCAGCATCATGTACCAGGCAATATTTATACATGTATATTTAACTCTGACATCTCTAGGAGACTTTCTTACTAATTTCAAATAAAATTATATTTTCTAAGTTTAGCTGTTTCATTTGAACGAGGGCCTCCATGGAATAAATGTTTTATAATTTGGAGCACTGCTGCTCCAAGTAGTGTCTGCATTTGTTCTTGGAAAATCCTAAATTCCTTCCTTTTACTCCAGGTAAATACACACTGCTCTTTCTCCTGCTCTACCTGTGGATTACTGTGGCAGGACCACGTTGCTTTGATTATCTGGTTTGCAGATATATTTGAAAATCTATTTAATGTCAAATTAAATTAAATCCTTTCCCCCTGTATATTCCTGACTATTTCCATATTGTTCTCTCGTGTATATAAGCAAAATAAAGTAATTGTATCATTTTTATGTGAAGACCATTAAATTCTCAGCACTTAGATAACTAGATATCTTAGTGAATTATATATACACATTCAGGGGAGAAGCCCTATGTGTGCAGGGAGTGTGGGAGAGGCTTTACACAGAAGTCACACCTCATCAGACACCAGAGGACACACCCAGAGGAGAAGTCTGGTGTTTGCAGGGAGGGTGAGTGACTCGTTAGCTCTCAATCGCACCTCAGCAGCTGTAGGTCAAGTGTAGGCACCACATACCTCATATCCCAGCTCTGAGGGGCTTCAGAGGAAGCCTGCTGGCCCATTTCCCTCCCCAAGATTGTAATTAGTACAGAAGTAACTGGTCAAACATCCTCCACTTTTATGAGGAGAGGCAATAGACAAACCGTTCCTTAAGTGCTATGGGGATGTTAACACCAATGTCCCCAAAGGTGTTTTTGGCCTCGTTTTAATAAAGTTTGTGTCCAGACAAACCTGAAGCCGACATGCCTCATCCCCCTTATCACTGAAAGCAGAGTTCCAGGAGGGCCTCAGAGAACGCTCAGCCACAGACCTGAACCCGGGAAGGCGGAATCTGGCATCAGTCCAGTGAGGTTCCTGCCAGGGAGAGGGATTGAGACAGACTCATCAGGAACGGGAATAGCCCACACCAACCCCTTGGCTTCTCCTGGCTCCTCCCGATTCCTCCGACCTCTGTAGCCTCAGAGGTGAAAGCCAGGGAGGGCATGTGCAGGTGTGTGCGTGTGCAGGTGCATGCGTGTGCACGTGTGTGTGTGTGTGTGTGTGTGTGCACGTGCACGCACCTGTGCTGCCTCTGCCTGGACACTGGTCACCCTCTTCTTGCTGCCTCTGTAGCGTTGGCATCTCGTGTGGGGCACAGCACGTGGGCTCCAGGTCCGGCCACGAGGGTTTGAGTCTCAGCTCTGCCCTCACAACTGTGTGTCCTAAGGCAAGACCCGCAAGGTCTCTGTGCCTCTTTCCAAGCTATAAAGTGGGAGGGTGACCCAGCCTTTGGAGTGTCATTCAGAGTGGGGTCAGCACCGGCGCCTCTGGCTCAGGTGGCTAAAACGCGTGTCTCTCGGTGAAGAGCTTCTGCCAGGCCTTGAGGTGACAATGGAGGCAGAGGGAGTGGGGGCCCTGGGAGCCAGTTCAGAGCTTGAGCAGCCCCACTGCTCTCTGCGTGGACTCGGCTGCCTGAGCAGGAGGCGTGGGGTCAGGCATGCACCTCCCCCTGGCCACCCCTTCCCACTGAGCCTGAGCAGGCGGCACTGCGAGTGACCAGGACACAGGCCCTCGCCACCCTGCTGAGAGCTGCTGGGTGCACCTGACCTCACAGTGTGTGCGAAGCCCACCTCGCAGCAGCTCCGGTGCTGGCCTTGTACCTGGGTCCGCGGGTCTAACCCTCCCCTGACCCGTCTGAGATCCTTAACTGCACGTTTCTTACGGGGAGTCTGATGGGCCATGGACCCGCGTGAGCAGAGCAGGCAGGCCGTGTTGGTCATTCCTGGCCACCAGTTCACAGGTAGCATCCACCGAGGCCAGGAGCACCGACCCTCGTGGGCCCACGGGTGGGAGTCCAGCGAGGCTCCAGGGAACAGGTAAGCGTCTGCCTGGGGAGGCGACGGGGCCACAGCAACCAGAGGCCCCGCTTTCCTTACAACAGAGCGGACGTCAATGCGGGGAGCAGGCACACGCGGTGAGGGCCCGTCACCCCCAGCCTGAGCGACCTAGCACAGCACCTGTTCCTGAAGGAGGGCTCCTGAAAGGGGCACCCAAACCCACGACCTGGGACCATGACTTCCCTCTCCTGTGTAAAGGACACGGAACTTTCGGCAATAGAGACAGAGTCATGGGGAATTCCTTATCCCTACAGAGTCAATACATCGCTGTCTTGCGATCACCAGGGGTAAAAGTGAAGGATAAGGCTTTTAAAAAATTGTTTAAGGCAGTCCAGAAGAGATTGCTACCCCCTGAGCCACTCCCGGTTGCGGTCACTGAACCGAGGGAGTTAAGAAAAACAGATTCCGGGCTCAGCTCCGGGCCCCAAGAAAAAGAATACGAGCAGAAAAAAGGGAAAAATAAATTAGAAGGTTATGAAAGAATAGCCTCAGCCAGCGATTCAGAGCTGGATGTTTCATTTTCCACTGAGACGGATGGTGATGTTTACACTCTCCTTAAGGAAAAGAAAGAGAATAAAAGTCCTCAGGAGTTGGCTGCACCGCCGCTGAAAAGTGAGAGTAAAATGGCACTAGCCATTAATCCGGTGTTAGCGGCTGAGCCTCCACCCCCCTCCTGGGGACACAAAGAGCTGCTAATGCTCAATACCCACAAGGGTTAAATTTGAACAGATTATGGATTAATTTATATATTATTAATTATAATATTATTATATATAATTATATATGTTATTAATTTATACAGGTTATAAATTAATTCCATATAACTGGGATGCTATAGCAATATCTACAATTTAAATCCTGGTGGTGGGAAGAAGCCAGGAGAGTGGCGATGATTAACGTCCAACAAAATCCACCTGGATGTAATTTTGACCAGTTAACAGGAACTGGAACACATAGTAGCTTACAGCAACAGGTGCTGTTAGAGGATACTGTTATTGCACAGATTAAAGCTTGTTGTTTAAAGGCTTGGTCAAAAATGGAGGAGGCCGGCACCCCGGCCCAATCATTTTCTAAAGTTATACAAATAATACTAATATAATAATAATAATATTAAAATCTTATATAAATAATTAATAATAATAATTTTCTTGCTGATGCATTAAAAACTGCAATTTCCCATCCTGTTAAAAGCTATGGATGTGGGAAAGTGGAACATATGAAAAAGGAATTGTCTGAAGGCAAGGGTCCCACAAGGGAAAGATAAACATGCTCCCGGAGTTATTAATGCAGATTGCAAAGGAGAAATATTAGTTATAATATCTGCTCCTAGTATTATAAATGCAAAGGCTAGAGAAAAGATGGCAGTTACTATTACTTCCCTATAAACAAATAGGGCATACGGCACCAGTTAAGCGAACTGGGGGATTTGGCAGCACTGGAAAAAAGGTTTTTTAGCATACAGTCTTAGGAGGCCAAAGACCTCAATTTTTACAGTAATGTTCCCGGAGGGAATAAAAATGATCAGCCTGGTGGATTCTGGGGCTGATGTAACTATAATTTCTACTTTGCACTGGCCTCAGTCTTGGCCAGTACACAAGGTGAATGCAACTTTTACAGGTTTAGGGACCCTCGCTGAAATTTTGCAAAGCTCTAATGTACCTGAATGTCAAGGGCCTGAAGGGCAAAAAGGCAAAATACAGCCGTATGTTGCTTCCATTGCACTATCTTTGTGGGGAAGAGATCTTTTACAACAATGGGGGGCTACAATTACTATACCTTCTTTACAGAAAGGCCATAGACAAATGATTTTTCAAGCTGGTGCTGGCGCCAGTGTTCAGGACCAAAATTTATAAAGGGGGCCACTCCAAAGCGCTTCGCCCTCCCTTTAAAATGGAAAACAACTAAACCAGTATGGGTAGCGCAGTGGCCCCTAACAAGAGAGAAGTTAGAAGTGTTCCAAATTATTATTAAAGAACAGATACAACTAGGGCATATTGAAACTAGCTCTAGTCCATGGAATTCCCCTGTCTTTATTATAAAGAAAAAATCATGTAAATGGAGAATGTTAACTGATTTAAGATGGATTAATGAGATTATTGAGCCTATAGGACCTTTACAACCTGGAATTCCAAATCCAGCATTAAAGCCTTTGCTGTAATGGGCAAGCCCCGAGCCATTAAAACTAACAATGGCTCAGCATATTTATCAGGTAAGTGTCAACATTTTTTTCAACCGTTTGATATTAAACATATTATAGGAATTCCTGGAAACAGTACAGGTCAAGCAATTACTGAGCGAAAGAACTGCACCCTTAAGGAAATGCTGCAAAAACTAAAAGGGGGAGAGGAGCTGGTATCAGGCCAGACCCCCTCACGAAGATTATTAAGAGCTCTATTTACTTTAAATTTTTTAAATCTGAATGCAGATGCAGGGTCAGCTGCTGGCTTACACTGGGGACATAAAGAGGAGGTCCCGGTGGAGCAGCCTGTCAGGTACCAAGATGTCACTGCTAACCAGTGGTGCCCGGCTACCGTTTTCAGGTGGGGTCGAGGCTTGGCTTCTGTTTCCACAGGAACCAAGAAGTTCCGGATCCGGATGAAAGAATCCAGGGAAGGCATGGCGGGCAGAGGAAGTGTGATGAAGCGGGACTGGAAGACCGGCTTGCGCAGCTCACCATCCAGGGAGGACAAAATTCGCGTGCCGTTGCCTCGCACCCGAAACACCCCTCCACCTACATGGGGACAGGTGAAGCGCCTATGCCAGGAAGGGGAGCGTCTTGTGACTGCCCATGGAAGGCCCTGTAACTAATGACTCTAATTGGATGCCTGGGCCTTTTGATGAGCATAGGCCTTTGAGACCAGAGGCCGGAATGCCTGTGTGTCTGGGACAGGGTGATCATTGTCTGCGATTGGGTTATAAAGCCTGGTTGAGTGTAGCTAAAAACACCACTAATCCTTGAAAGGACCAGTTCAATGGACTCAAACTACTGGGGAAAGATCTTGTTTTAATTGTACCTTGTTAACTTGTGTAAATAACTCTGTACCTTTTCATCACAGTATCTCTAGCTGGAGCTCTCCAAGCCATTGAGGAAGGAATATTGAAGAGGTCAAAAAGGTTTATTGGCATGCTAATCGCTGTAATTCTTGGATTAATTGCTATAACAGCAACTGCTGCAGCAACTGGGGTAGCATTACAGCAATCAGTCCAAACTGCTACTTTTGTTCAAGACCAGCATAAAGATTCAGAACAGTTATAGAGTTCTCAACAGAAAATTGATAGTGAAATCAATGAACAATTAGCCGATCTTGAACAATCAGTAGTTTTTTTTAGAGGACCAAACTATTAGCCTACAAAGGCGATTACAGTTAAAGTATGATTAGAACCATACTGGTTTGTGTGTCACCCCTGTACCTTACAATGAAACAGCTTTGCTATCTTCTCTGCCATGAACCGGAAGCAAAACAAAAAAGGGGGAAAATGTAGCTGGACATGTGGAAAGAGAAGTTAACTAGAAGAGGACGTTCTGCCAAGAGAAGACGGGAGCCTGCAAGCAGGCCACGTCAAAACAAAGTCTTGCAAGAAGACTTATTGTTTAGAGGCAGAACTTTCCTTGAGGTGATAAACAGTCCATGAGGGCATGGAAAGTTCAAGGAAGGGTTCACTGCTGCAGGTGGAAAGTCTTTGCATAACATAGGAAATTAATAGTCTAATGTGTAACTTAGCTCAGATGATCTCACAAGCATGCCTGTTCATCATTGTCACTTGCTGTACTCCACTGTGATTTGCTGTAGTCCCCAAATAAAAGCCATGAGGGCTTTGGGGGCCTTTGCTACCTGCCTGACTAGCAATAGCCCTCTGCTTCTCTAAACTTCATCCTGCACGCCAAGCTTGTCTCAGCGTCTCCGTTCACAAAGAACATCAACACTCCCGCCCGGCAGGTGTGGCTCAGTGGTTGAGCATCGACCTATGAACCAGGAGGTCAGGGTTCAATTCCTGGTCAGGGCACAGGCCCGGGTTGTGGGCTTGATCCCCAGTGTGGGGCCTGCAGGAGGCAGATCAATGATTCTCTCATTGATGTTTCTCTCTCTCCCTCTCCCGTCCTCTTGGAAATGAATAAAAATACATTTTTAAAAAATGACCCGCCCTACCTAGTTTGGCTCAGTGGATAGAGCATCGGCCTGTGGACTGAAGGGTCCCAGGTTCGATTCCAGCCAAGGGCACATGCCTGGGTTGCAGGCTCGATCCCCAGTAGGAGGCGTGCAGGAGGCGGCCAATCAATGATTCTCTCTCATAATTGATGTTTCTATCTCTCCCTCTCTGAAATCATTAAAAAAAAAAATTTTTTTTTTAAATGACCCTTCCCTTGCCATGATCAGGCTTGTGAAGAGAGTCTACATGAACTAGGGGATGTTAATGATAAGTATCCATTATTCTTTCCTCTTTTTCATGCTTTTTTAAAGGAAGAAAGGTATGTGTCTTCAGTTTTGTTTTCTTTCCTAGTGCAGCCCCCACCCCCCATGCCCAGAGAAAACACCATGAACTGTCCATGTTCTGTGGCATCCTCGATGGGCATGGGAGGGTAGATCCTGGCGTCGCTGAGTGAGAAACTGGGACTGAGATACAGGGGGGAGGGGATCACACACGCCAGGTGCTGCTCACTCCCCACACCAGCACCGGCCCTGGAGGCCCACTCCGAGGAGGCGGAGCCGTTGAAGATGAGAAGGGAGTCTGTTCTCTCTCCCTCCCTCCCTCCAGCAGCAACCCACCTCCCCGGTGTGGCCATCTGCCTCCATGGTGGCCCCCACTCCACCTCTGTCTCCCAGGCCCTTGTAGGGTCCCTCCTTCACAGCAAGGCTGACCTGTGCTGTGCAAATGGCGTGCGGCTCCCAGACCAAAGTCACAAAAAGGCACTTTTGCCTCAGCCTTGCTCACAGGGTCTCAGGGCCCCGTGAGCAGGGAGCTGGGAGTGTGCACCCCTCCCGCCCACCTGGCAGCTGCTGGACTGAGCTCTCGTCCCCGACAGGCAGCTGAGTCCCTGTCCTGTCCCGGGGACACCTGCTGCCTCCAGGGCCACTCCAGCTGCACCTGGTGGCTCCTCAGCTCCTGCACCTGGCCCTGTGCTTGCCCTCGATGGGGCCGGCCACAGTCTCGGGGCAGAAAGGACATCAGCCGCCGAAGCAACAGGACAGCCTGGCCACTGCCTCCATCACCCCCCCGTGACCCCAGCGGCTGCCACGGGTGTTGCAGGCTCCATCTGCTTTCGCTCAGCTCATCTGCCCCCAGGTAAGGGCACGGCCATCTTGGCTGGGGACCATCGCTGGGCAGGTGACAGGGGTCACACACCAGAACCGTCAGCCAAGAACCCAGACCAGTGACTACCCTCCACAGCCGGGTCCGATGAGCCTGGTCTGAAACTTGGCAAACTTGTCTTGACTCCCAGACATGCCCGGCTTCTGGCTGGAAGCGCACTGATCACCAGGGGCAGCTCCTGCATTGAGTGTCTGCCCCCTGGTGGTCAGTGCGTGTCATAGCGACTGGTCTTTCCACCATTAGGTCAATTTGCATCTTACCGTTTCATTATACAGGATTAACTCTATTTTAAAATTCTGCACACTTTTCCATAACATACCTAGTTGCGGTTGTTTCTTATACAGTGGGGCCTTGACCTACGAGTGTCCCGACTAATGAGTCTTTCGAGATACGAGCCCTCTCTCGGCTGATTTTTTACTTTGAGTTGCGAGCTAAAATTCGGGTTACAAGCCGGCTTCAGATACCCCACCGCTAGCTGGCACAGCGAACGTCACAGTGAACGCCACGTCAGCCCGGCACCACGTGTCTCACTCGTCCACTTTATGATCTGACATACGAGTAATCTGAGTGACGAGCTCCGTCGCGGAACGAATTAAACTCGTAAGTCAAGGCCCCGCTGTGTGTGACAATTTTGACATAATTTTCTGAAATGCAAAGGTTTTGGCTATTTCAGACCTCAGGTCTCTGCTGGTGATGTGTAGTTGGTTTTCCAAGAGGTCCTTCTATCTTTTCATGGAGGTAAAAATACCTCAATTATAGCCACTCCTGCTGCCTTACCATTTCCATTTCCTGTGCCAAGCTCATTGTTTTGCATCATAGTTCTTCAGTTATCTTCTCCACTTCATTTCCACAACATTCGCTTGTCAGAGTACTTCTTAGTACGGTCCTTCAATGCTAAACCAAATCCTGTTTTCATCTGTGTTTGGTTTCCAAGGTTGAATTGTCTTCCCTTGAAAACTGGGTCGATTTTGCTTGGAGACACTTCTTTTGCGCCGTCCTGAGCCACCAGGACCTGCCGAGACCACGAAACATGTTCAGCCCCCGTTGCATTGAGGGCTGCACCTGGGGGCTGAGAGGGTGGAGGCGGGCAGAGCACGCCTTTCACGCGATGGAGGAGCTCTGTGGTCGTGGGGAAGCGCTAAGACTCGCTGGCAGGGTGATTCCATGCGAGGCAAGCTTCGGAGCGCAGAGCGGACAGCAGGCGCTGGAAGGAGAGGAATGGAACATTCCGTGGAAAGGACATTCTGACGGCTACTCCCCTGCCCTCCGGCCTCCACAGGCAGCCCTCGCGCTCTCCCCCTCCCTCCCCTTCCCACCTCGTGGTGCTTTGTCCCCACAGCAAACCTCTGCTCACCTCCAGCACCAAGTGTCCCTCACCACCAGGAGGGCACCGCCGCCTCAGGCCTTCCAGGGACCAACTCCAGGCATCCCTGCTCAGCACCCGCTGCTCATCCAGCTAGAACACGGGAGCACCTTCCCTTGCTGTCTGTAATCTGGTGGCCCATGTGGTGTGTCTGCAGAGTCAGGTCGACACCCCAGAGCACCTGTTTTTAAAATGTGGGGACAGGAGAACAGGCTGGAATGAGGGGAGATCATGAGACTGTCCAGGGGAGAGGCTGGGCTGCAGCCAGTGTACTGAGAGGCAGTTCTGAGGTGGCCACTGAGCCCTGAGGACTGGACTGGATCTCCCAAAGAGCTGGGACCGGAGGCCATGCGTCACAAAGGCTGGAGAGAAGCCACGACAACGTGCCACAGAGGCCCGGGGAGGAAAACATCTCCAAATCCAGGACGTGGACCTGGTACCAAAAGCCACAGTGGCCACCCTGGCCCGGTGGTTCTGTTGGTTGGAGTGTCATCCTGTGCACCAAAAAGCTGCAAGTTCGATTTCCAGTCAGGGCACATATGGGAAGCAGCCAATCCATGTTTTTCTCTCTCTCTTCCTCTCAAAAAAAAAAAAAAAAAATCAGCCCTAGCTGCTTTGACTCAGTGGATAGAGCATCAGCCTGTGGACTGAAGAGTCCCAGGTTCAATTCCGGGTCAGGACACAGGCCCAAATTGCCTCTGCCAGTTGGAGAAAACCACCCTCCTGTGCCCCAACCCTGGTGTGCTGTGTGTCACTGTAAAAAAGGAAGAAAGAGCCAAACCGGTTTGGCTCAGTGGATAGAGCGTCGGCCTGCGGACTGAAAGGCTCCAGGTTCGATTCCGGTCAAGGGCATGTACCTGGTTGCGGGCACATCCCCAGTGGGAGGTGTGCAGGAGGCAGCTGATCGATGTTTCTCTCTCACTGATGTTTCTAACTGTATATCCCTCTCCCTTCCTCTCTGTAAAAAATCAATAAAATATATATTTTTTAAAAAAGTAAGGCTCTTGAAAGAAAGGAAGAAAGAAAGAAAGAAAAAAAGAAAAAGAAAGAAAGAAAGAAAGAAAGAAAGAAAGAAAGAAAGAAAGAAAGAAAGAAAGAAAGAAAGGAAGGAAGGAAGGAAGGAAGGAAGAAAGAAAGAAAGGGACCACAGTGCACAGGACAGGAGAACCATGGGTGAGAAGTGGCAGTGTCTGTCCTCCAGAAACACAATGTCATCTGACACCAGGCCCAAGCCCCCCATCACGCAGGCCAGCTGCCGAGGTCTGTCCTGCATGGCCTGTGGCCTGAGCCACTCGCCCACCAGTCGGCCCCACCTGAGGTGAACTCGGGCTTCCTGCCAACTCCCGTGGGGCCGGCACCACAGGGCCTCCTGACGAGGCCGCGGCCCGAGCCTGCCGCCTCCTTTCGCGGTGTCGTTCCTGGAGGGGGTGAGGGTGCAGTGGACTCCCCGGGACACCCGCAGGCGGCGCTCCCGGGTGGGACCGTTCTCTGTGAGGACCCGCAGGCCAGCGGTGAAGTGGGAAAGGGCCTGGGCCAGGTGCTCAGAGCTCAGCGCACCCACACCAGCTTCCTCCGGCCCTGCACCCAACACAGCCTCAGTGAGAGCCAGTTCCGGGCCTGTGGGTCAGGCCTTTCCCTACCTCCCAGGCCATCCCAGAGCCGCTGGCATCTCCATCCTCAGCATCCTGGGGGGGTTCCACAGGGTGGGGGTTCCACACGGGTCTGCAACAGGCGGGAAACATCGGTCTCTGCCACGTCCCCAAGGCCCACGTGGCTGGCTAGTGCCCCGATGCTGCGGCGAACCGGGGGTCGGTGTCGGGCTCCACAGTGCCAGGGGGCACGCACTCAGGCCAGAGCTTCCTCCAGGCTCTGTTCATGGTGGCGGGCTGCAGCTCTGCCCAGGCCTGGGGGATGTTGTCCACGGCCGTCATGATGGTATACCTGCGCCAGAACTCCCGCGTGGAGGGCCGGCCTCCACCAGCCTTCTCCCGGACCAGCTGGCCCAGCGTACAGCGCAGGTAATGGGCCTTGAAGGCGGCGATGATGCCCTGGTTCATGGGCTGGATCAGGGCCGTGTTCTTGGGCAGGAACTCCACACGCACGTGGGTGGAGAGGCTGCCCAGGTGGGAGGGTGGCAGGGTGCACTGTCCAGGAGCAGCAGGGCCCGGTGTGGGAGGCCGTGGCTGGCGCAGTAGCTCTCCACCGCAGGGCAGAAGCAGCCGGTGAACCAGTCCTGGAAGATGCTGGGTGTCAGCCAGTCGCTGCGGTTGGAGCGCCAGACCACAGGCAGGCCGGCCTTGGAGCAGCCCCTGAGGGCGCGCGGGTTCTCAGAGGGGTACACCAGCAGCGGCTTCAGCCTGAAGTCACCAGCTGCGTTGGCCCCCAGCAGCAGGGTCAGGTGGTCCTTAGGGGCCTTGGGCCCGGGCCTGGCTGCCCCCTCCAGCGCCAGCAGCATGTGCTCGGACAGCCGCTTCCAGGAAAGGCCCGTCTCGTCCACGTTGAAGACTTGCTGCGGGGAGTAGCAGCCCTCCTCCAGGATGCAGCGCAGCACGGAGGGGTAGCAAGCAGCGGCCTGGGCGTCAACCACCACTGGCTCATCCATGAGTAGCACGTTGTGGCGTGACTTGAAATGGGCAAACCAGCCATTGCTGGCACCAAAGGTCTCAGCCTGGGCGTCATCGCCCTGCTCCTGCTGCAGCTGGGCGAAGAGCCGCCGTGCCTGGTCCTGAATGAGCAGCGTGCTGACTGGCAGGTGCCGCCGTCTCTGCTCCTCCATCCACAGGCTCAGCCGGCGCTCCATCTGCCCCATCACCACACCCCGGCAGCGGGTCAGCTGCTTGGCGCTGACGGGCGCCGAGGCCTGAGAATTGGCCCGGATCTTGTCTTTGTTGACACAGATCAAGGCGACTGTGGAGGTGGCCAGCCCCAGAGCCCGGGTGATCTGCGTCAGCTTCTCACCCTCTTCAAACCTGCGAAGCTCCTCCAGCTTCACATGCAGGGTGATGGACTTCCGGTCCCACTGGGCACTGTGGCGGAGGCCAATCCCACCCAGGGGTGCCTTGCCTGACACCTGACGGTGGGGGGTTGTCTTCACTCCGCCTCGGAGCGCCAGGCACCTCGACGAGCTCTGTGCCCCTTGCCCCTCCTCAGTAACTCCCACTGTGCCCACAATGGCAGCCTCTTGACCTCTCTGTAAGAGGGGGACACACAGGCATTAATATATGAGCACATGGGAGTCCCACCACTGCCCAGCTTTCCCACGCACTGACACGGAGCACGGAGCCCTGCTCAGAGGCATGCCTGGCCCTTCTGCCCCCGCTCCCCACTGCTCAGAGGGCTGCACACTCATTTTCAAGCATTTCTGCATCCAGGAGAGCGTGTCACTTACTACTTTTAGCTCACGACATCAAAACACAGGTGAGACTTCACTCTTCCCCACCCCCAAACCTCCTATAACCACACGGCAGCCAAGAGCATCCAGAAACCATCACCACCTCCCAGACACGGACGGGCAGAAGAGCGACCCAGCTCCATGCTTCTCCTCAGACATCGGTCCTCAGTGAGGGAGGCGGGACCAGGACATCTCCCGACGACGACATCCACATCCTAACGCAGGGGACTATGAACAAATAACCGTACGCGGCAAGAGGCACCGCGGTGCGATTGATTATCCTGAGAGGGGAGGGAGCCCTGGGTGAGCCCAGTGGGCCCTCAATGTGGTCACGGGGTCCTTGTATGAGGCAGGTTTCGCTCAGAAGGCGGGGTGGGCACTGAAGCCCACAGCCTCCAGCGGAGCCAGTCCTGCCGGAAGCTTGATTTTCGCCCAGAGGAACCCACTTCAGATTCCCGAGCTCCGAGATCTAAGACATTTAGCACTAAGTTAGTAGTGATATGCGACGTAGTCACAGGAAACTCACGCGGAAGGGAAACTCCCTAATTCCTGCTCCCACCGCCCCCTGAGGGAGAGCCACAGCCTGGCCAGCTTCCTGGAGGGCGTCAGGGCCCTCCTCTCCTTTGCTGAACCCGGACCCGGGCCTTTGCTCCTGTGGCTCCTTCGGCCCAGAGCTGGGGCCCTTCCCTCCTGTCTGTATAGCCTGCTCCCTCTCCTGCAAACCTCTGCCCGACGGTGCCCTCCCCGCCTGCTTCATTGTGCATCTGTCACAGGCGGCCTGCGGACTGCAGCCTGTCTGCCCAGCTCTCTGCTGCGCCCCAGGCCCAGGAATATGCTGGGCACTGTGCAGGCAGCTAGTGCGTCTTCCTGAGTAAGTGATTACGGGAAGTACATTGGTGGGACGGGCTTCCCACCTTATCCCCTTTGCATCCTGAACGTTGTGAGAGTAACGGCCGCCTGGCTGGTCTGGCTCAGTGGACAGAGCGTCAGCCTTCGGAATGAAGGTCCTGGGTTCGATTCCCGTCAGGGGCACATGTCAGGGTTGCAGGCTCGATCCATACTGGGGGGTGGCGGGGGAGGGCGTGCAGCCCATCAATGATTCTCACCATTGTTGTTTCTATCTCGCCTTCCCTCTCTGAAATCAATAAAATAACTTTTTAGAAAAACAGGTAAGAAAGTAGCACCTGATCAAAACAGTGACGCTGGTGGTGAAGGAGTGCCACGTGACAATCAGGGACAGAAGCCCATGGGAGTGGCTGTGGCTCCAGGGTCCGTGGCTGCACCTGGCGTGAAGCAGGAGGCACCGCCCACGGACCCCGGAGCCAAGAGGCCTGGGAGGCTCCGGCGTGGAAGGCGGCCCCTAATTCCGATCCGCCCGCACCCATCCTTCTCTCTCCCGCCACCCAGCCTTCGCTGCTCCATCACAAGTTTAATTTAATTCACCCATCCATCCTTTTATCCTCTTGCTCCCACTCCATGAAATTCCCAGGCCCGCCGCCCTACGTCTCTCGAGACTACATTTCCCAGAAGGCCGCGGGGCCGCCCCCAGCTCCGATTGGCCCAGTGGCGCGAGACTGCACGCTCAGCGGCTCCCCCCCTCCCCTTCCCGCGACCGGAGCCGTGAGAAAGGCCGCCCCCGCCTCCGGAGCCCGGCCTGCGCGCGGCTGACCGCCCTCACCTCCAGACAGCGACGCGGGCCGCCTGCTTCAGCTGGGCCGGTGGGGCTGCGGCCCTTCCCCACGTCCTGCCCACAGCACGACTTCCCGGAGGCGACTGAGCCTAGCCCCTATCTGATCGTTGGAGGTGGAAGGTTGCCGAGCGACCGCCGGGATTGGAGGAGACCGCGTAAGGCGCGCCTCCCACGTCGCTCTGGGCGCTCGGGCTGCTGGGAAATGTAGTTCGGTGATGAGGCTGTCGCTGTCCCAGGCTGGCTTCTTTGCAGCCTAACTTCTCCTCGCATCTTCCCTGCCGGCTGCTCCGTCCGTCTTCCATCATCCTCCCTATTTCTTTACCTTCCTGCCTCTGTCACACCGTCTTCTCTTCCCCGTCTGTCCCTCATCCCAGAGAACTGGTTCCCTTCAGACAGTCAACATGTTATTTGTGAAAAAGGTAAAAATGGGCGCGCTTTTCCCTCCCCCTGCTCCTCCCCCCAGGCTCGTTGCCTTTTCCCTTCTCTCTCCTTCGCTCCAAGGAACCTCCTATTGCTTCTGTGACTTGTTTCCTGACCAAAGGCAGCCCAGCTGGATCACTTCTGCTTCTAACTTTGTCAATAAATTTCGTCTAATACTTTTTTTAAATAGGTAAGTGAGCCGTCTCAAAGATAGATTTGCTTCACGTAGCGAACTACGAAGTTGACACAGGTGGCTCCAGAAAAATGGGAGGGAAGGTACAAGCGAGAAGGTTAAAGAACAAAATATCAAATAAAAACGCAGTGCGGCCCTAGCGGGTTTGGCTCAGTGGATAGAGCGTCGGCCTGCAGACTGAAGGGTCCCGGGTTCAATTCTGGTCAAGGGCACATGCCTGGGTTGGGGGCTCAAACCCCAGTAGGGGGCATGCAGGAGGCAGCCGATACATGATTCTCTCTCATCGTGGATGTTTCTATCTCTCTCTCCTTTCCTCTGAAATCAATGATAATATCATATATATATATATATATATACACACATACACACACACATACTTTTTAAAAACGCAGTCGGATTAGTGCCCTAGAGGGCAGCGGGCAGCCGGAGTGTGTCGTGTCCTGCTGTGTGCCCTACAGGGTGACACAACTCAAACCCTGGGCTCTCTTTTCTCAGGACAGAAAGCATTTGCATCCTATTCACCTTCGCAGCATAGCAGCTACTTCACAGCGTCTGGACTCTGATCAAAGTGGCGGGAACAGTTGCTTTGCTGAGGGAGTCACACAGGCTCCCGGTCATGTTTGTTCTCTTTGTCAAGTTTTGGGTGAGTCTTCCTCACAGGTCTCCCTCCGACTTTCTCTCTTGTTGCTGTCACCTTCTCTTAGTCTTTGCAAACCTCAGTCCATCTTACTGTGCCTCTGATTTCTGTCTCCTTCTCCCTCTGGTGTCCTCCTGTGTCCCTGTCTGTCCCTTGAGTCTCCATGTCTGCTCTTCTGGTCCCTGTGAATCTCCCCCCTCTCCCCCTCTCCCTCCTCTCCCTCCCACCCCTTACTGCTCTCGCTCCCTGTTGCTAATTATTCTGGCCACTGGCCTCCCAGGGCCTGAATCCCCGCCCCGCTGGCCTCTCACCACATTCTCTAGGTCTGAGAGAGCAGAGCCCTTTCCCGGCTGTCTTCTGTCTGTTCAGACTGGAGCCTCTCACCTGCAAACTCTGGGTCCCTCCCTGCCCCCCAGTCAGTCACTCTTCACTCTCCCCGCCCCCACCCCTCTTACCCAGGCTTTTCTGACGAATAGCCTGGAGGATGAGAAACCACAAAAAAGGATCCCAGGAGTCACAGGACCGTGGCATCAGTCACTCACCAGCTCTGTCGTGTGTGTGTGTGTGTGTGTGTGTGTGTGTGTGTGTGTGTGTGTGGTCTCTTTTGGGGGGGGTTAGAAAGGGGGCGTCGCAGCGCTTCTGAGCCTTACTCAAAAGAGTACACCCTTCACTCTCGCAACCTTCCCTGCAGCTGCCCACCGGTGGGTAACCCATTGAGTGCGTGCTCACCAAGGCACCCGTAAAGTCACAGCAGGGACGAACGGTGTGTGTAGGGGGGGCGGGGGGGGGCCTGTGCTGGGACACCGGCTAAATCGCCTCGCGCACAAACTGGTGTAGCATACGCTGTTACAGTGGGGCGAGGAATTACGTTGAAACCAGCCGAGTGACAAATTAGACCTTGAGTTACAGGGGGTCAAGATGGGTTGGGTACAGGGGAACGCATTGCCAGCTATTCAAAGGCTCTCGTACGTGGAAGCTACATGTTTTGAAATCGTGCCCTAGCAAGCATCCCTGTACAATGGACACATTGACCCACAATGACGAGCATGATGCTGAGGAGCATGCTCCGCTATGTGTGTTTGCTTGAAGTGTTGTAATGTACCCCGCGAATCACAGAAGGACGCCTCAAGAAGTCGAATTAAAGAGTCACATTTATTGCAATCCGGGACTATGAGGGGACATTCCCAAATCTCACAGTAGTCATTTGGTCACAGTTCCAGGATTATATAGGCAAAAAATCACAAAGGTATTGATTACAGCTCAGGGTTTGGAATGAGGCACCTGGCTCGCAAAAAAGCAGATTACAGAAGCAGAGTTAAGCATGTTAATTACAGTTTCGGGTCTCTGAATTGACAGAAATACATTATCTAGAGGCCTCGGGTCTTGAACCACTGAGTTGGCAGGAAGTCATTATCTAGAGCAGCCGTGGGCAAACTACGGCCTGTGGGCCAGATGCGGCCTGTTTGAAATGAATAAAACTAAAAAAACAAAAGACCGTACCCTTTTATGTGATGATGTTTACTTTGAATTTATATTAGTTCACACAAACACTCCACCCATGCTTTTGTTCCGGCCTCCGGTCCAGTGTAAGAACCCATTGTGGCCCTCGAGTCAGAAAGTTTGCCCCCCCCTGCTCTAGAGCCATCGAGGCAATTTAGAGTAATTGTGCTGTCCTGGTCTTAGGACCACTGAGGCAGCTGGAACGCACCACCTGTGGCCACTAAAACAATTTAGAGTAATTGTGCTGTCCTGGTCTTAGGACCACTGAGGCAGCTGGAACGCACCACCTGTGGCCACTAAAACAATTTAGAGTAATTGTGCTGTCCTGGTCTTAGGACCACTGAGGCAGCTGGAACGCACCACCTGTGGCCACTAAAACAATTTAGGGTAATTGTGCTGTCCTGTTTCCCAGGTACAGAAGAATGTGCTTCCATAACCAGTAAGATCACAATCAATGGGATAGTCATTCAATCAATAAGGCATTCAATCGGATGGGATGACTTATACAATTTAGAAAATCAAAGTGACCTGTCCATTGTTAAGCCAAACAGCAGGGTTAGAGTTAAACTACAGTTTCTACCTGATGGTTGCGACCATACTTCAGAAGAACAGTTGGTGTTAACAAGGGGGTTGGGGGAATTAACACTGAATTCTCAGAGGTGTTCATGCAACTGCTGAGCATAGGTGGAGATCCTGCTACCTCTGTGCTGGCCCACCCTTGAGACCGAAAGGGGCAGAGGGATGGCTACTTGCCTTTTGGGAAACAGGCACAAGGGAGGGGGAGACGCCACATGGACCAAACTAGGCAGGACGGCGGGAGGGCGGTTGTGGAACACTAAACATGCAACTTCACTGGGGCTTCCCTGGGTTAAGTGGAATTTGAGGAAACATTGGCGGGGGGAGAGTTGCAACACAACAGAGCAGCATTTGGAAGGATGTTGCCCACCTTGAGACAGTGTTCACTCGTGTATGCTTCCCAAATCAAACACACAATCAACTTCATGCAACTGAGGCACAAGATAAAATGAGGTGCATGAAGTATGACTGATAAAAAGCTTGTGGGGAGAGGAGATGGAGTAGGTCAGGGGAGATTAGGTGTAAGGGAAAGTGTGCTGCTTACTATAGGGCTCAGGAACATCAACATACAATAGGAACCAACCCTTACATCTGCACTCAGGACCCACACTTACCACACTCAGTGTAAATTGGATGTTTCAAATGTCCTCCATCAACTCATACCAACTATCGCTGTTTCATAGATTTGTGAAGACACAATTAACCCCATACCAACATAGCTGCTACCCTACATATCTAACTATTAAAGGCTAGCTTTGAGGCAGGCAGGGGGGATGTAGAGTAGACAACCACAGCTAATACAAAGAGACGAACTTGACAGTGGGCACATGTGATGGAAGGTGAGGTGAACGATGGCCCTGACCAGGTCAAGGGCTACGGCAGATCCAACCAGGTGTCCTGGAAGCAACCCGGGATACAAAAAAACTCCCAGATGAGACCAGGACCCTGCAGCCACTCCGGCCCCCTGTGGGAACCATGACTGGGAGTTACCAGTTAAGACACTGACTACAAGCTACAGTGAAGGTTGCTCAGGGTAATGTACAATTTCTAGACCGCAG